CCAGGTTTGACTTGCAGGCCATAGTTGGCTGAATCCTGTTCTAGAACTTTGTTAGTTGACTGTCTTCCTTCCTCCACATATTTCTCTTGTGTGACAGAACACCTCCATTTGCTTAATCTTACGGAAAGTTCCAGGATAGAAAGGATGCTGAACAATGTTTGTTGTAATGGGAGGATAAATCACAATTAAATATATTTTATTATAATCTATATGTTATATGTACTTACCTAAGATTCAGAATATTCCCCTGGGATCAGAGGGCCCCATCACATTAGCCTTTTGTAAGGCATTTAAAATCTGGCTGTTCCCCAGGCTGTTCCTCCAGGCATTTGGTCTGGGATATTAACCATCTATGCTGATTAAGTGGTTGTTGATGTGTTGTTGCCTGGTATTTTTCCTGGATGTTGGTTATTTGATGGTTTATTATTTCATGATATTTAGGTTTTAGCTTTGCATGCTACCCAAAGTCAGTTGCTGACATGGACAGTCATATCATCAATCAATCAATTGGGCAATGGTCAAAAATACTGCTTTTGAGTTAAAAGGAAGAAAGTGGGTGCAGGATGAAAGTTTATGAAGAGGACTGAAAGCTGTGAATAGTGTATTATGATAAGCATATTACAAAGGGGCATTATCAATAGTCATCCTTAGAGCATAGCTACAGCCTCCTATGTATTTGTTTGTTCATCAAAGCAATATGAAATAAATGACAAAAATATTAGTTGGCTATTTGGTACAATTAGTGAAATCACATCTTGGATTCCAAATTGCAGTAATATGGTAAAAGTTTTGAAATCTCTTTACTATTACACAGTAGTTTAGATTTTTGCAAGATTTAAATGAGGCATCAGTTTAGTATTGTTACACAATCACAAAAGAATGAAGTCCAACCCCCTTTGAATGCCATTGGCCCTGATCTAGTTCTGTCCAGGTGGAAACCATTAGTCTGAAAAGATTCCTGTGCATAGGTTTAGGAATAAAGCCATAAATTAAAACCTTCATGTTTGGACCTGGTTTTTCACACTTAACAGATACTTTAGCATATGCTTAGTTTGTAAACCTTCCTGTATTATAACTTCTTTTCTCAAAATAGAGCAATTTTAAATTGCATGTTGCATCCGTCATAAAATATATCAATGCAGTTAATTAGTATATACAATTAGGGTCAAATTGTTTAAAAGTGGCTTACATAGATTATATTTGCTAGGACTAATAAATACAGAACAACAGAGTAACAGAATTGGAAGGGACCTTGGAGGTCTTCTAGTCCAGGGCTTTTCAACCAGTGGTACGGGTACCACCTGTGGTACATTGGCACCTGGCAGGTGGTACGCGACCATCCTAGAAAAGTGGTAGCAGGGGAGGGGAATGAGCTGAACCGGTGGCAGCACCGCACAAGCCTGAGCGAGAGATGGCTGGGGCTGCAGGGCTGTCAGGGCTCAGTGGAAACGCCAGGATCAATGCCGCTTTCCAGCTGATTGGCACTTCTTCGGGGCTGTCAGGGCTCAGCGGAAGCACCAGGATCAGCGCCAGGCTCCAGCTGGAGCTCAGTGCTGATCCTGGTGCTTCTGCTGAGCCCAGAAGAAGCACCAATCAGCTGGAATGTTGCAGCATCTCCAGGGTCTTGTGATTTACATTCAGATGCTTGGCAACTGATTCATATTTATGATGGTCACAGTGTCCCAGGGTCATGTGAAGTGACCAAAACCTGCTGCAACCACCCAGCAGACGGGGGGGAATAAAAACCAAACACCCCCCACCCCACCCCCGCTGCCAATCCTCAACAGAAATGCTCACAACAATGAAAACCTCGGACAGGAGGAGGAGCGCCACCAGGTGGGCAGGCAGGTGTCTTGCTCGGCTGTGGCTTGGAGGGTACTTTTTTCAGTGCCATTGTAACTTCGAACAGTCACTAAGCAAACTGTTGTAAGTCGAGGACTACCTGTATTTTATCACTTTTTTTCCTTTTTTGGGGGGGGGGGTCATCATGTTTTTGACACCTTGCTAGTTGACTGGTGGTACTCGGATGCTGCCATATCCTAAAAGTGGTACAATGGGTGAAAAGATTGAAAAGCCCTGTTCTAGTCCAACTCCCTGCTCAGGCAGGAAACCCATTTCAGACAAGTGGTTGTCCAATCTCTTCTTAAAAACTTCCAGTAATTGAGCACCCACAACTTCTGAAAGCAAACCATTCTACTGATTGATTGTTCTAACTGCCAGGAAATTTATCCTTAGTTCTAGATTGGTTCTCTTTATACACTAGGAATACATTGCAATACCAGTGGGCATTGGTATATAGGGAATAAAAATCCTCCCAATCCATTCCCTGTGTTGCCATTTAAAATGTCAAATTGTGAGCTATGAGACATGCTTAAACAGGGCAACTGTCTGTGCTTGTAGACATCTGAAATACAATATACAGTCTCACCCCAATACATTTCCCCCACTCATACTGACAGAAATGGCATACTGTGGAACCTGCTGGTCAAGGAATTCCATCTAGCAGGGTCCAGGAGAAGAACCTTTTCATCCCTGGCTCCCACCTTCTGAATCATCAGGCCCTTTGGGGTGAGATCTGCCCCCATCCTTTTGGCCTTCTGAAAGGTCCTTAAAACCTGTCTCTGAGTATTGGCCTGGGGCCGATAGAGGTATTCCATACTGTAGGCAATGAGAGAAGATTCTACGTCCACCCCATTTGGATTTTGCTTCCTTCCTTAGCCATCTTTATTAAGTTTAATGTTAACATCTATTACTACAATTTTTATATTGTTGTTTTTACTTTGTTATAAGTTGCCTAGAGTTGCCTGATGGTGAGATAGGTGGCATATAAATTTAATAAACAAATAATAAAGAAAACAGCAGAATAAAATGGATTACGAAAAGGAAATGTCAAAGTAGATTCCCAGTCCTGTTGTAAGATTGACTTATCTTATGTCTCTTTCTCTGAGTAAAAGGTGATTCAGTTTACCTTTTGCCTAAATAGATGTTTCCTGTAACTATCAATGTAATAAGCCTATGGAATTATTGGTAGTCAATGAGTGAGTTTTCCTTCATGTTTTTCTTTAAACTATTCATGCAGTAAAATCCATAGTTTAACACAGCATACTTTCCATGCTGTGTGAAGATCTTATTTATGGGCAGAAACTTACTTATGCTGTCAATCCATAATGCTCCATATGCATTCATCATCATTGGCATCCTTCAGTCTCGAGAGACTATGGTATCGTGCTCTGGAAAGAGGTCCTAAAACAGCATCTGGTGTGGCTAAAAAGGCCAATTCGAGAGTGGCAGTCTCTTCCACACTGAGGACAGATACAATCTGTCCCCTGTCCAGCCCCAAGATTTCGCTGGTTCCGGGACTGCCTCTTTGCCTCAGCCTGCCGCACAAGTGTCTCTTCGAATTGGAGAAGGCCATGCTGCGTCTTTAGCCTCCAGGCTGAATGATCAGAGGTCAAGGATTCCCAGCTGTCAATGTCCATTTCCATGGCCTTCAGATCCCTCTTGCAGATATCCTTATATCGCAGCTCAGGTCTCCCTTTGGGGTGCTTTCCCTGCACTAGTTCTCCATACAGGAGATCTTTCGGAATCCGACCATCAGCCATTCTCACGACATGCCCAAGCCAGCATAGACGTCGCTGTTTCAATAATGTATACATGCTAGAAATTCCAGCACATTCCAGGACTGCGCTATTTAGGACTTTGTCATGCCAGGTGATGCCGAGAATACGTCGGAGACAGCGCATATGAAAGGTGTTCAGCTTTCTTTCCTTCCATACATAAAGGGTCCAAGACTCACTGCAATACAAGAGTGTGCTCAAGAGGCAGGCTGTATAGACCTGGATCTTTGTATGTTCTGTCAACTTCTTATTAAGCCATACTCTCTTTGTAAGTCTGGAAAATGTGGTGGCTGCTTTAACAATACGTCTATTCAGTTCAGTATCTAAAGAGAGAGTGTCGGAGACAGTTGAGCCGAGGTACACAAAGTCATGGACAACCTCCAGTTCTTGTGCAGAGATTGTAATACAGGGAGGTGAATCCACGTCCTGACCCATGACTTGTGTTTTTTTCAGGCTGATTGTTAGACCAAAGTCTTGGCAGGCCTTATTAAAACATAATTCATATGCATTGATTATTCATAATTGTAATTGCTCAAGGATTTGGGAAGTTTCTTTTCCTCATCACTTGCTTCTATTTTTTTAGCTGACTATGCTGAAGTAAACCATGAGGGGAATTATATGTGTTTTTGTTGGTCTATGACTCCTTCGTAATAAATTAATCCTTGTTTAAATATTAACTCTGAATTTTATTAGAATTTTTTTTCTATTTTTTTATTTTTTTACTGTACTTTAAGATTGGGAAGGTCACAGTGCTTTTTTATATTTTAAATGTATAATTTTACCAAAATAAAATAAACTATGCAAGCATAGTAGCTTTGAATTAATCACAAGATTTTGTGATTCTTATTTCTTACAGCATACTTCACTTTTATGATCAGACTCATATAGTTCTGTGAAAATATTTGGTGAAAATCGTAATTACTATTAGTATTACTATGAAACATTGCATCCTTTAAAGTGTAATATTATTACATCTATTACAGTAGGATACTTTAATTTGAATTTCCCCCAACTTGGAAGAAATGAACTGAAAGGCAAGAAACCACATGTCATCAAAACTGGCAGGGCAAGCTATTGCATGTACTACATATGTAGTATATTTCTACATATGGGTTGAGTAATGAAACATCAACATGCAAACAACCAAGCTCAGAGAGTACCAAATATTCCACAGAACGTAACAGCATTTTTAAAAAAAGAAAAATCCATTTCAGTTTGACTAAATTTTATTTAAATAGTTTATTATGCAGATTATGTAATCCTCATAGAATTAATAGCACCAACTCTTTCAGATGTACAGTATAATACTGTTCAGCTAGTATTATTTCAATGATTTGTTATGTTGAAGTAATAACTAATTTAATATTCTTTTCACTATGACAGGTATTCAGCATATGGCAGTTGACTGGCTTACGGGCAACTTCTATTTTGTGGATCATACTATACATACAATCTTTGTATGCAACTTTAATGGAACAGTTTGTGTGACCCTGATTGATCTTGATCTTCATAATCCCATGGCAGTTGCTGTGGATCCCAGTGTGGGGTAAGATGTTTAGAAATAGAAAATATTTATTTAATATAATATTTATATTTCCATGTGAAAAAGAAAAAAAAAGAATTGGCTACTGTAGTTATTTCTCACTTGGTTGTTCTTTAAAATTAAATAAAATGGTTGTTCTTTAAAATTAAATAAAACTTGTATTGATTTGAACAAAAAATTATCTGAATCTCTCTCTCTATCTCTCTATCCATCTCTATCCATCATTTTATATAAAATACAAGAGAAAGAGATGGTGTGGTAGAATATTTATCAGGCCATATCCAAAGCAGCAAGCAGTTAGACTGATCCCTTAAAAAAATTACAAATGTATAGTTTTGAATAATAGTTACCTTTCTACACTACACAGAAAATCTGGTTTTGAAATGTGATGTTGAAAGAAATATATTGTGCATGATATTAAGGAAAAAACATTTTGTTCAGGTTTTATTTTAAAAAAATCTAGTAGTATGACTAAGTTGTTGAACACATTTCTTTTTACCTTAGGTAAAGTACGGCAGCTATTTTTCTAGAATACTGTAATTCTTAAGCCTTACAGGAGCAAGTAGGGGAGAAAAAAATGCATTTTTTAAAATTCAATTTGTGGTTGGTTGCTGGATATAAGAGATCTGCAATGCTATCTCCAATACATTTACTTAACAGTAAGCATCAGTGAAATTGGTGGGATCTATTTGCAGGTGTTTCCAGCTGTGTATGACGATAAAGGTTGGTAAGGGGTATATCTTACCTTCATTTCTGAAATCCACAAATAATATTTATTTCTTCCTCTATCCCTATTGCTATTGTGTGGTTTACAACTGCTTGCATGTTCTTAATACAATAGAAAAGAAGAAAATTCTCTTCCTAACCGTGATTTGAAAGATATTATTTTGAATGTGAGCTGTGGTGATTTTAAAACATGCTTAAATTACAGAGCAATTATAGTGACAGAATTGACAAGATGGAACTTGCTTCCATTGTCCTAATACTAAAAGCTTGCATTAGATATTCTTTTATTGGAGAAATGCACACACATTCTTAGGACCACCACTGGACATTGTATTGCAACCCGGATATGGAAACTCTTGGAAGTGTATTTTAATTTAAACAATGAATAAATATTCAACGTTTGTGGGTTGGCAAAGTCTTGTTTTAGTTTTTTTATATTTTCTTTAGCCTGACTTTATTATTTTTATATATAACTCAAGGCAGTGAACAACTCCTTCCAACTTTTTTCCCCCGCACAACAACAACCCTGAAAAGTGGGTTGAGCTAAGAGAAAGCAACTGGTCCAAAGTTTTCATAGTTAAGGCAGGACTTGAACTCACACTCTCCTGATTTCTAGCCTGGTAATTAAATCACCAGACCAAACTACCACTAATTCCTATGGGAGGTCCTGATATAAAATATTATTCAGATATGCCTCTATAACTGATTTCGGTATAGAATAATATAATATGTCAGAATAGCAGTAGAATTTGAAATGTAATTTCTTAGTTCCTTTGTTAATTCATTTTGAAGAGGAGAGGGGAGCTACAAAGCAGACCTGTTAAGTTAATGTTTCTCAACCTTAGCAACTTTAAGATATGTGGACTTCAACTTCCAGAATTCCCCAGCCAGCATGGTGGGCTAAGGTATTCTGGGAATTGAAGTCCACACATCTTAAACTTGTCAAGGCTGAGAAACACTGTGTTAAGTCATCCTTAGTCCTGCTGATTTTCTCCAGCTAAGCGGAAGATAGAATTTTGTTTTCCTTCCCTGCCTTCCACCCACATTTCAGACCAAAACCCAGAATAATTACTGCCATTTGTCCAAAATACAAAGGCCACTTTATCTGTCAATTGAATTTTTTCTCTCAGATATTAGTATCTTTCAAACTTGGGAAATTTAAGATGTATGGACTTTAACTCTCAGAATTCTCCAGGCAGCCCACTGCCTGGGGAATTTGGGGAGTTGAAGTCCACACAACTTAAAACTACTAAGTTTGAAAGACAGTGATGTAAATGAAGTAGCTTTGGATTAAGTTGTCACATGGAACTCCTGTTGGGAACACCCTAATCCTTCTGAAGAGTCTATTTCCATATTTCAGGTACTATCAATTTTTTTTTTATTTGAATAGTAATCAGAGGAAAATCACCATCACCCTTTTTGGTTATCACCAGTAAAAAAAATCTAATGGGATTACACTGTAACAGACAAAGGACAACATTCATTGTCAACTTTTGTTTATGGGAAGACTAAGACTTAATAAAAGAATAAACATTATTAAAATAACCATCCCAATCTGTTTAAAAAAATGTACTGGCATTATTTAAAAAAAATATTTACCTGATAGATAATTAGAGAGGCATGCATATTCTTAAAAAAAAAAAAGAAAGTTTTGAAAAGGGGAAATATTGTTTCATTATCTGATCACCCTGATAACTACCAGATAGATATGTTAATAATGATTAGTTTACTACATTAAATATGAACAGGTGCTTAATGAAAGAGGTGAGGATTTTGAAGTAGCTATTACATCTATGTTTGCATTGTTTTGTAATACAATTGTAGCAGCTGTATGCCATAAGAATGCATTTAATAAACAGCAAAATATTTACTGAAGAAACAGCTTGTTATCCATATGTGGACTTTTGTCACTCTTTTTAAATCTCTGATTGAATATTAAGATGAATCATCACAATAGGCTTAGCTAAGTGACAAGAACAGCTTGTGTGCAAACCAGGCAAAGGAAGCTGTATAATATAATTTTCGAGCAGAACAACAGATGGTAAACTTTACTTGATCTGACTAGAGTGATGTTCCTAAAGAAATTAGTATAAGTTATATTTAAGATGATTTGTTTAGTAATTCCCTTAACAAAGAACAACAATTTTCAAATCATCCACCAGCTTTTTCAAGTTCTTTTGCTTACATGATATATTTGGTTTTTGTTTGATGAATTCTAAATGATTCATCTCTCAAAGGATGTTGAAGTGTTCTTTGTTTTTTGGTAAGCAAACTTTCTGTGGTAGAATTTAAGAAAATACTCTGTAAATATAAGAAAAATGTGATGCGGAACAATTTAAGAAAAAAAAAATTACTGTGTGGAACATTTATCTTAATGTTTTTCCTAACCTTACAATATTTCTCTATGTACAAAAAATGCAGTATTTTAGAATTAATCTGTGCAGAGAAGATTCAAAGAAAACATAGCTGTTTAGTTTTACATTGAATACCGTCTCAAATAATAGTGACAGATTGGAGGGCTGTTGAGAATTTAGTAGTTGTGGTCGAGTACATGCTTTTAACACCTTCAGTGGTTTTGCTGGTCTTGGATCATTTACATGCCCTGCAATCTCACAATGTTACTGTTAGCATCTGGGCCAATTGATTCCAATTCAGCTGTAGTTTGTTAGCAAATATGCTAAATCCAATTTCCCAGTGGAATTTTGCAAAGCCAATTTGCAAGAAATTTTCACCTCACCTGCCTTCTGGCTCCTCAACAGTTCCGACAAAGACATTGAAGTAAAAATGTTCCACACTATAATTTTTGTTGCACACTTAATAAATTGAATAAACCATTTTAAAGCAAACCATTCCAAATGAATGCCCAGATACTTTAAACAGCCAGTAAATCAATGGGATGAGAGATTGGGGAAAAGAATTGGATACTGAAGCTGGTGATGTTGAGGATAAATTGAGGATTCTAATGGTCTGATAGAATTATTGTAAAATGGAATTATGTAAAAGTATTAGTTATCCCAAGACATCTTCCTATGGTATTGTTATATCATGACAAATTTCAAATGAATAAAGGACAAAGTATGATGTGATATGCTTTGTGAATGATAATGGAAGTAATACTGAATATATGAACAAAAATGGAACTTTACACAATATGGATCATAATCTAGGGTCAATATAATGGAAATATTCTAATCATCTGGAATGAACAAGATTTTACTCTTAAAACTTTTATTTTTGCCTAATATTGCCATTCCTTATGTTATTTGCCTGAAAATAAATGGATTTCAAAATAAAAGAGAGGATGGCAGCAAATAATAAACAACAGACAACATGAGCATTGTTTGACAATAAAAAGGTGGGAATGAAGTCCTACCTTAGACATGAAAGCTGGCTGGGTGACTTTGGGCCAGTCGTGTTCTCTCAGCCCGGCCCACCTCACAGAATGGTTGTTGTGGGGAAAATAGGAGGAGAAAGGTGTGGTGAATATGTTCACTGCCTGGAGTTATTTGTAAAAATAGTAAAGGTGGGATACAAAAAAATAAAATAAAATAATAAAATAAAATAAAATATAAAATAAAATAAAATATAAAATAAAATAATAAAAATGTTGTATAGAAAATGACTATATATATATATGTAAAATTCTCCAAAGTACTTATCTTGGAGTCAGTTCTCAAATGTCTCTTCTCTTTCAAGTTCCATCCTAGGATGTATGTATTTAGAAATAAATAGTTTCTTAGAAGGCAGCCTGCTACAGCTAATGTTTGAAGCCATTTTCTGAACATCAGGAAACTTTCAGAAAAAAAAAAATTCTGAAAGAAAAGGATAAACCCTGCCTCTTAAAAAGGAAAATAAAACCCAATAAGAAAATAGGCTATGTACCTATAGCAAATACATCGATGCAGAGATGTATTGAAGTGTGGAAAAACATCTGAATCAACCCTTGAGAAATCCGGAAATTATCCAACATATAAATATTTCTTTCTGTAACATGAAATGATGGTATCGAATTACACATCTGTAACATTTGAAGCTGTACTGTCTCAATGAAGGGGGTTTTCTGTTTGTTTTTTTACTCCAACTTTGAAGTGAAAATTTATTCCCCAAGCTCTTTGGCATCAAGGCTTTTCACACTGTTAGCCCTTTCCAGCAGTGACTATCTCAATTCCCGTATACAGTAGTAGGGAAAATTCTGTGGGATAGATGGGAGATAGACTGTCAGCTGTTGAAAGAGAAAGGTGAAAAGGGAAGGGAAAGGAAGGCAAAATGGTTGATAT